ATTTGGAGCAATTTTCATCGTTCATTTTCATCTTCCCAATCCCTAAACCGTTTTAGGTATCTCACTGAAAACTAATCCCCTTCTCTCTTAATCTACGGTGCAAGATTTTTTTTGGTGGTTTGTTGGTGTTGAGAAAGTTCCCCAAGTAGCCAAACTTATTAGAATTGCTTCGGGGAGTCAATCCCCTTTCCTTTTTTTTTATTTTGAATTTATTTACAACTTTAATTTTTTATTCTAATTGGAATAATTCTGTTTACAAATTATTGCATGCTGAAAACAAATGGAATTTAATTTGATTTGGTTTGAATTATTACACTGATTGACAATAATGTAGTTCAGATTAGGTGAGAATACACTGTTTTTCATTGATTTTAATTATATGTGGGTAGTTAATTGGAGAGCATCCATTAATTAAGATTCTTATTCAATTTAGAAGTCGCTCTTGCATTGAAATATTAGTAACTATATAAGCAAGCTTGAACCTTATTGATTTTGTTTTGTTTAATTGTAGATTTTTTATTAGTTTTTTTTTCTTTTGTGAGCTAGGAGCTTATGTAAGGAGTTGAGGTATGTTTTCAATTCTTTTATGAGAAGGTTGTGTAGTGTTTTGTGTATTAGTATGTATTTCTGTATTGTTTATTAGTGGAGAGTATAGCTCAATAGGTGTGACCCTGTTTGCGATGCAGGGTGCTGATTGTGTGCTGGTAATATAGAATTGTGCATGTGAGGAATGCTAGGAACACACTCTTTTGAACACTCTCTCTAACACACTCCATGTGATTGGTTAAAATCCACATGGGTCCCACCACTTGGGAGTGGGACCCACGAATTTGGTGGGACCCATGTGAATTTTAACCAATCACATGGAGTGTGTTTGAGAGAGTGTTCAAAAGATTGTGTTCCTAGCACTCCTCTTGTGCATGTTGTACCATTTGTGTTGTTTGTTAGTGGAGAGAAAAACTCAATAGGTTGTGACCTTGTTTTCTTCTCATGGGACTGTGTTCTACTATCTTTAATATTTTTTAACTGCTCCTCTACAATTATGTTATTCCGTATATGGACCTACAATAATTTTAAGTTGTGTTTAATTATGTTATGTAATTTTTTAGCTCTATTCTCTGTGCTACCATAATTTTTTATTAGAATTACACACGAGAGTGTTCTTTCTCTTATATTAAATAAAATTTTGATCCTATACCAGTAATTTCTTTGATGATTTCTACATATTTTTTAGGAACATAATACTTGAATATTATTTTCTCATGCTAAATGAAATAGTATAAACAAACAATTTAAATAATATAAAGAAAATAAGACCCATTTTCATAGACATTATGTTTAAATTCGAATTTGAAACAAAAAATACTTTCTAAGTTGTTAGTGCATACACTTAACGAGTTAATAGTTAGTTTTTAAATTTGAAAAAAATGTTTTATAGAAAAATACTAAATAATAAGTATGACTTTTACTATTCATAAAGTTTGTTATAGGCTTTATTATGTATATTATAACCGAGTTCATTTATATTATAATCAAGTTAGAAAAGAAAGGTTTTGAAAAAAAATTACACATGACACTAGTGATGGCTTTGGCGGACACTAATTTAGCGTCAATCTAGCTACAACAACTTATTTTTGCGTCAACTTGACCGACTCTAATTAGCGTTGGCCATCTTAATTGGACGCTACCGAGTTTGTGTTGAGTGGTTTAATGTCGGCCCCAACATCAATGCTAAGCTAACACTAAATAACTGGGTAGCATCTATTTTTCTATTTTCGCGGTTTGGCCAATGCAAAAAAACAAAATAAACAATTGTTTTCTTGTAGTGAATGAAGATTTTTTTATACACAAGACTTGAACCCGAAACCTTACTAAAGGGGAATAAAACATATACATCTTGAACCAACAACTCTTCTAGTAAACATGAGTGTCTAATAAGTGAAAGATAAAAATACTCTTACTTTAATTTAAAGTATATATATGTTAAAAGCTTGGTCTTCCTATAAATTTAAGTAATTTCAATGCATGGGTAAGATAGGGAAATATATAATTTATGTACTTGGGAACATTGGATTTAGGTACAATTTTTTTTATCCCAATTCTTGCCATTCAGAATATATCAAAGATACGGATCAAGGAAACAACTAGATAGAGTTAATATTAATTTAGTTTTGAAAATACATAATTCACATAGTAAATTTTCCTTTGCAATAATAAGGAAATTTGAGAAATCTAATATAGGGATGAGATTTTATATTAATAGTGTGATCTAGTAATTTCCTTTATTATTTGGACTTTTATGTAAATTTATCAAGTGTGTGCTCTAGGGTTCGATCCCCACTAGAAATACTATTGGGAAACGGTGAAGAGCTTTAATTATGACTAAGTCCGCGACAAGATTGCCCTCATTGTACAATACATAATGAGTTTTAGACTAGTAATATAAACAAAGTAGCAAAAAATAAAAATTGGAAGCCACTTTGAATTATCAAAGCCAGGTTTCAATCCTGGGACCTGTGGGTTATGGGCCCACCACGCTTCCGCTGCACCACTTTGATTTTTTTATTATATTATTATATTAATATATATGTTTAATAAGAGTATTTTTACAAAATTAATTTTTGAAAGAATCATGTAAAATAATATCTCAAAAAAATTATCTTGATTAACACACATACATTTTATTATAGATTCAATTAATATGTACTTTAGATTAAAATTTAGGCTATTGATATTGTTTGTATTTTTGTTTTTATTCATTTTGTTTTCACAAGTTAGTTGTGAATCTTGAGTAAATCAACCAACAATATCTAGTATTGCATACATTTTTTAATGAATCTTTTGAAAATTTATTCATAAATTTATCTTAATTAATATTAATATATATGTACATTTGCAAACACATACGAGTGCAAATGCAGTGTTATATATGTATGAATCATGTATGCATGTATAGCACAAATTTTCAAGCGTACTCTTAAAGGATAATTTGTAAAAATTCTCATTCATTGATTTCCTGCATATATTAACGTTTTATCATATACAGTGTTCTAAAATGCTTTCAACCTCGTGATCAATATCATGTAAAAAAATTATAGTTAAGACATTTTTTGTCTCTTTCTTTTTTTTTCTAAGCAAAGAGAATTTAATTAAAAAAAGAAGTACAAGTGGTACTCTAACTCATAAACAGATACAAAACAGAGAAAGCTAGTATGAAAGAACACCCAAAAAAAAAAAATACAAAATATTCCCACAAGCCAATTCAGAATTGGTAAACACTTTCTGCTCCAGAATAAAGCATAAGTAGTCATGCAAAGACAAAGAGAGCAAGCAACACTGCTCATATCATCGAATTGTAAGCTAGCCAACACCATGTGCATGAGCCATTTGGGAAGAAATGCCAATTGTAAAGACCAAGAATAGAAACGGCCAAAAGGAATAGGAAGCCTTTACCTGCTTTCAACAAAGTCAAGAAGCAATGGGACCCGCAAGACTAAAGTTCATCAAATGAGCTAAGTATGAAATTCATCAGATAGAACTAACATCAAGAGAAGTTGTTCCGAACAAACAAATGAAAATTGTGAATTTACACAACATAGAACCCCACAATTACAGCACCAACAATTACCAATAAATCATCAACTAAAATAAGCCTCAAATATAATCAAAACTCACTTTTCACAAGTATGGAAAAGCATTCCATGCAACCACAATCACAACATTTAAGAAACCAAAACAATACATAATTATGCACAACCATACACAATTATGCAGAATATTAGATACTAATAAAAGTTGTGCAAAAACTATGTACAATTAAACATAGACAAAGACACAGATGCTTCCAAAAGACAAAAAAAATAACACATAAAGAGTAGAACCCAAACAACACCAAAAAATAACACGTCAACAACAAAACCACAATGGCATCACTGCAGCCAACTTACAGAAACTAAGTAAAAAATAGAACCCTTGATTGGATCATAAAAAAATTAGACAACACACAGAAGATATCACCCAAACAAAAAAAGGGTAATGGAAAGATGAGTCCCAAGCCTTGATCCAATGCCATGAACGAGTTTTAAGAAGGTCCAACAGATCAATTTTTGCAACTTGTTTGTGTAGGACACAAGGAAAACACAAGAAGGAGGTTGAATAGTGTTTTACAAACTTTTTAAGATTTTTAGAAACTTTTTGCAACAGTAAATCAAAGTTCCGACAAGGTTTTAAGAGCTGCCTAAAGATACCTTTTTAAAAGTTTAGACAATAAGGTTTCTAAGTAAATTGATTGTGAACACGTGAAGAAAATTGTTTGTAAACTTATCCTTTCAATTCCTTTTCTGTTAGTGATAAGATAATATGCAACTTAAGAGTGTAAGGATAGAGAGACTTAACCACAAGATTTACACTAGTTCACTCACCACCACTGTGAGCTACGTCCAATTTCTGTGCCAACTAACTACTGGATTTTCAATAAGCATATATTTAAGTAATTTCTATGCATGGGTAACTTAGGGATATATATAATTTATGATTTAGGAACATTGGATTTGTGTACATTTTTTTATCCCAATTATTGGCATTCAGAATGTATCAAAGATGAGGATCAAGGAAACAACTAGATAGAGTTAATATTAATTTAGTTTTGAAAACACATAATTCACATAGTAAATTTTCCTTCGCAATAATAAGGAAATTTCAGTAATATAATATAGGGATGAGCTTTTATACTAATAGTATGATATAGTTATTTCCTTTATTATTTGGACCTTTATGTAAATTTATCAAGTGATTGTTCTAGGGTTCAATCTCCACTAGAAACACTCTTAGAAAATGATGGAAAACCTTAATTATGACTAAGTCTGTAACAGGACGCCCTCATTGTACAAGAAATACTTGTGGTTGATACCCAAAAAACATTATCATGTGTGTTGCATGAGCTTTAGACTAGTAATAAAAACAAAGTAGCAAAAAATAAAAAAATGGAAGCCACTTTGAATTATCAAAGGCCAGGTTTCGATCCTGGGACCTGTGGGTTATGGGCCCACCACGCTTCCGCTGCGCCACTTTGATTTTGTTGTTATATTATTATATTAATATATATGTTTAATATATAAGAGTATTTTTATAAATCTTTATCTTTATCTTTATATATAAAAGTAAGGTAGTGAAAGTAACATATGAAATCTAAAGTGAGGACATAATAGTAAATTCCTTTAAGAAAAATTTCTAAAAATAGAAAATATCTTTTACATTTTAAATGATTAATATTATGCATCACCATTAATTAACTATAGTATTTATATTAAAGTTAATATCACTACAAAAATAAAAAACTATAATAATAATACATATAAATAAGGATAATTTAAAACATATCTTATAATTTAAAAAGTACAAAATTTAAACACAATCTCAAACACTTTAAAAATTATTTTATAATTATGTTAATAGTAATTATAGTAATTATTTAAATATAATTATCATTTTTATATCAAACATCAATATTATTTAAAGCCCATTTTAACAATTTCAATATTAAAAAAAAGGTTTATAACATAAATAAAAATATAATACAAATAACAAAAAGGCATTCCATAAGCAATATAAAAAATATCACTAAGAGGTCATTCCATAAGCATTAGGGATAACAAATTATTTATTATGTTGAATAAATGTGTTATTATAAATCAAATAACAAAACAAAACAAATAAAATCTTTTCAAGTAAACAAAAGATATAAAAGACTATAAGAGTGTGTTAGAAATAAAAGATGTAATAATTTAATGTAACACTCTTTGATAAGGGAGAATGGAAAATATTAATTACAAGTGAATCTCTTTGGAGAAAATTTCTTTCTATATGAAAGGGGGTATGAGAGACAAAGTTTCAAAAAATGGTCAATTTCATGGACATGCATAAAAAATTTAAATATGATTTCCATAGAAATAGAGTTGGTCGATAATATGATTGAAAATGGTGGCGAGACATATTTTTAGTTAGATAAATGGGTCAGAGGGAGAAATTATAGGACAATAGTTATCAACCTTCAAAAATAGTTAGTTATCCCATTAAAAATGTTATATATAAATAATTCTTGACAAACCACAAAAAAGAATAATAGTGCCTTTTTTAATAATTTACTTTTGAAACTTTTAGAATGATTAGATAATCAATTTTTTTAAAAAAAATTATGTAATTAATAAATTTAAAATAATTTAAAAGTTACTATAGTTTTTTATTTCTTTTAAAAATTTAATTTAAAATAAGATAGGAGGCCTAGATGATGGTGTGCTTCTTCTTCCTCATGAGCTAGTGCCCTCAATTTTCCTTCTCTCTAAAAATTCCACTCTCTCTCACTCTAGGTTCGAAGGAGAAGTTGAAGAAATGAATGAAAAACTCAGTTTTTAGTGTTTTTATAGTAACAGACGCGTCACTGCGCTTCAGCTGCGCAAAGCGCCATTAAAGCGCAACTCCTCCCAAAAACTCTCTGATTTCTGCGCTTCAGTTGCGCTCAGCGCAACTTGGAGCGCAGTTAACAGAGAGGAATTGAGGAAATTCCGCTGTTTCTTGACAGCTTTCTCGCTTGAGCAAGAATGTGTCTGTTTGGGGTGCAAACAAGCTTGGAATACTATCGTATAGCATATCAAACTGAAGCCCCAAATCTTAGCTTTCTAATCCAAGTGAAATCACCTCAAAAGGACACCTGCAACTCTAGATATTTGCAAATTAGTGCACCAAGTTCATTAGGCTTGAAACCTGAAATTAAGCAACAACCTAGGTTTTTGCCCCTCTTTGATTCCAAATCAAAACTCTCCTTCTCAAACCTAATTCCTCTCCATAAATCCTCCTCCTAGCTTAGTCCATCCTCACCCAAATCCTTTCCCCACTCTAATTTTTGATAAATCGATTCCCTTGACCTTAAGGCTTATTCTTCCGCACTCAGGCCTAGTCCTAGAGTCAGTGAAAAGACCCCATCTGCCAGACAATGCAAATCATGCATAACATATTAATTTGAGCTTGACATTTGATATCTTGATTGAGTTAATTTGAGTTATGGTATTATGATAAGATGTGAACTTCCTTATGCATGTCAAATTCTTGTTTCCCCATACTGTATGATTGTATAGTTATGTTCACTAAGACATTAGTCGCACCCCATGTTTATGGGTTCATTTTAGATATGCAGGATTGTTTGGATGGATGCATGGACGAAGAGTTTGAAGCTCTTTGAGTGGATTATTCCACCCCTAGTTGTTTATCCTGAATTCCTTGATGGAAATTATTGTAAAAATGTTGTACTATGTTGAGTTAGGTTAGAAATCTCTATAATCAAGGAAGATGTATTTCTGAGCCACGAAGTGGCATTTGTATTATGGTTGTTGTTTATTGATTGGGCTTCTGTAACCGTTGGAGTTACGTAAGTATTTGATGATTGTGAATGTAAAGATATCGGTAATGGCACGTAATAATTTCAGGAATTTGGAAATAGTGTCTCCAACGGACATTATTCCTAAATTTAGAAATTAGGACATTACATTATGGCGTCATAGCAGTTCAATCCAATTGGACTGTGGTTAAGTTAGTTGCCTGTGACTTCTTATAACCCTACAGTACCCGTACTCATTTTAGGGATTGATCACCCCTATACTGTGTGCTTTGTCCACAAGATCATGGTTAGTGACGTGAATAAGATGCCTTGGCCAGAAAGTTGGAACACATCCCTAACAAGGTTAGAGCCAACCACCTATTAGAGAGAGAGGGAATAACATAGACCTATTCCTAAGAACATAATCCTTACCGTAGGGACCCTATGAATGTCTCACCCTTTAGTCCTAGTGAACATGAGACACACTTAGAGAAAACTAACTTAAGTAGACTCCTTGATGAGTGAAGAGAGTGTTGTTACTTAACCTTAAATCCTGGTAGTGAAATTTGTTTTCATTGATTGTGATGCTTGACTTACCTAATTGATTGGATGACATGTTGTGCTTTTGTGTGTGTGGGTTGGATTGTTAGTTCGTTGAGTCAAGATTTAATTGACTAGGCACCTTGTCAGAATTTGACATAAGTAAGATTAGGAGAAATATAGTAGATCGAAATAGAAATCTTGTGTAGAGCAAACCAAATTTTATTAAGGCGCAAAGGAAGAATAGAATAAATAGTATTCACTTGAGGGGAGTATTGTAACACGGATTAAATAAACCAATAACTCAACTAAGGATAGAAAATTAGTATGAGCAACATAGGCACCTCAGTATCATCTAGGAAGGGTTGGAGATCAGAATTCCATCGGGTGAAGATTAGGACGAATGTTTTCCCCCGGACCACCTTCGGGCTAGTCGGGGGACTCGTCGAGCAATTAGTGATGCCTTTCGGATACCCAATACTTTTACCTTATCCATTAACTGCATGGATGAAGCCCTTAGACCCTACCCGGATGGTATGCTGTCGTGGTTGCCAACCACGTGCTTACTTTTTTCCCACGCCTAGGGAATACAGAGCGACCCTTAGGGTTTAGGATTTTAAGTAAACAGGTTTGTATGAGCATTTGTAACACTGCAGTTGTGTTAACGAATTTTCTGGCACTTCTGTGGTTAGTGTAACAGCTTCAAAACTTTCCAATTTTTCACTCTTATAAATTAGCATTCCAACAAAATTGGTTTTACTCAAAAATCAATTTTGTAGCTCATGTTATGATCATTTTAGTCAAGCTATATCAAAACATTTCTACATACAGTACAATAACCTCTTTGCCTCCAAATTTCATTGTTTCTCCTATCTCATAATCTTTTCTTAAACCATATAGCTTAGTATTTTTCATCCATACCCTTTTCTTATAAGATTGACTTGATTAAGGAATGGAGAGCATATATATTTGGCTTGTAGAAATGTTTCTCCTAACTAAACAATTCAATTTTTCCAAGTTCTCTTTTCTCAACTATCATGAAATTGTCTCAAAGGTATATTTTCATATGAACAACTCATGTTTCATCATAGATAGATCTCAAACTTAAATACTCACATGATACAAGATCTTCACAAGCATAGTTGTAATAAATTATACTCACTTAGTTTACAACAATGAATATTCAAAACAATATTAGAGTCTTGATAGAATAATCAATCTGAATTCTAATTATCCAAGCAACACAAAATCATGTCAAGATCATTCAAATAAGCATATATTTTTCATTGTAAAATTAATCCTAAATTATGCATAGTATCAACATACTTAAATCTTATCTTCAAAATGAGAATAGTAAGATTTATCACATATCCATCATCATGGAAGATTAGAGTTTCAGAGTACCTCATGAAGTATTCCACAAGTTATCATTTGATCCACATGATTTAAGAATTTGCAGCTTGATATATGTAGAGATAAGCTCATCTTCTGCATTTTATTTTCAAACTTGATAATTTCCTTGCGTTTTCTTCTTTAGAAGCTTCTTTCTTTTCTCATCTTGTGGGGAAATCACTTGTCCTCTTGTGCAGTAGTCATTATCTAAGTTGACTGTGATTCATGAATTTCCTTTTGTACTATCAGAATCAGAGCTGCAACAAGAGTCTCACTTGGCTGTTCTTTCTCATATGTTTTCCATCTTAGTCTCAACCTGAGACTCAAATGTGACAGTCTCAAGTGCAGCCACACCTTCTGGCTTCTTCTTTTATTTTTGTCATTTCTAAACATCCTTTTGACTTGGATATATTCTTTTGAAGTTTTTCTTATATATTTCTTGTTTAAGATCCAAGAATCTCACTTTATCTACAAATCTGCAAGCTTTCTCATCTCAAGCGTAGGATTAGCCTTATCAAAATTATCATGTATACTTTCTTCTACACATTGAGTAATGATATTTGTAGACTCTATAATTACTTTGGATGCTATAAAATGTCCAGAAAATATTTAGATTTCAAATTGACTTCTTGTTTTAAAGATATGAATATATTAAGCACTTTCTAACAAGAGGATATCTATCATTTGATACTCTGAACTCTAATTAAGCATATGAGACATTTAAGTATTCGAAAAAGGGAGTAAAAAATAATTTCTTTGCTGTTTGAAATCC